CACACACACACACACACACACACACACACACACACACACACACACACACACAGACATACACATTCTTTTTTTGCCTTACCGTGCCAGCCCATTGAGTAAGGAAAGGAGACTTCAAAGAGATTGTCATACTTGGTTAACAGTCGCTTCATAATATCTGCCAGACCTGACAAACAGTAAAACAGGCATGAATGACATGCAAAAACATAAGAAAGGTGGCAAATAAAGGGATATGTTAAACTGTTCAGAGATAAACATAAACTAAGAAAAAAAAGAACCAATCTAAGTGTTTACATTTGAAGAAACTACAGTGACAGGATGGCATACTTAATGAATAAYGGTTTTCTTTTGSTGAGGTATGCTTTTTCAGAGKGGGGAGGAGGTTGTAAGATGAAATGTGTGTGTTGTGTATGTGCACAGAAAAAGAGGGAGCAAAAAAAAGGATAATTACTGAATTAACACTGATGCCTGCTTCAATGAGACACCTGCAGTCTTGTGACTATAGGAACCTTTGTTTAAAGTAAAAATAAGATAGGGTTGCTGCTACGCCCTGAGAAGGCTGAGCAGGACAAATAGAACTTTACTATCAGCTGTTGATCACCGACCTTTTTAATCTCTCAGTCACTTGCTCTGTCATTGTCTTTRCACACACTTACCTTCCCTCTCCTTTGTTGTGAGTTCATTAATTCTGAGGACATGTCGTCGTGGTAAAAGCAACGTCTGGTAGGGCCACGTTGCCCAGTAAGGAACCACCACCAACCAGTCCTGACTTTCCACCACAATGCGTTCCTAAGATAGCAAACAAAGAATAAAAAAAACTTAAATGTATCTGGAGTTCAGAGATAGTTTTTTTTATACAGTTTTACATTTTTAGGTGATTGCATTTCTTCCTTCTTTAATTTGCCATAAATGTGTTTCTAGTAAAAGTAATAAAAATCACACTTTCTGGTAAGTAGAAGCATTTTACTTTATTTTGCTTACTTTAAAAGTTTCTGCTGTTTCTCAATCTGTACTGAACGGCGTTTCGCTTCAATTCTTAATGTTCAGCACGGATACTGCAAAAATTACAGACGATGCTGGYCATGACTAAAACACCTCACTCCCTAGATTCAAACCCATCAAACACTAATACCAGGATGTTCCAGATTACCAGAAACTTTGTACCTAACCTGTAATGATCAACATTTTTCAACTTATGGGCTTAATATTGTGGCTATGTTGTTCTAATTTAATGTTTTTCCATTTCTTGAAATCATTTCAACTTAAATATTACAATATACATAAAACATTTAAACGTGTACAAACAATGCTACCTTAACCACACGTATTTAGACAGGAAAGTCATATAAAGAGAATACTATGTCAAAAAGGAGTACACACACATACTGTAGAAAAAGAAAGTGTGCTTAATGTGAATTTAAAATATAATTAAACCAGACAGTTGGGAATAGGCCTAATTACCATAAAGTGTTAAGAATCTGTTGGAAGCAGATTTAACAAGCTGATGAGTAGGCACAAACACGACCTGACCTTGCTCTTACAATCCATCAGAAATATATTAGCATGAGTTGTGTGTGTGTGTGTGTGTGTGTGTGTGTGTGTGTGTGTGTGTGTGTGTGTGT